AAGAGCTTGTTATAAAATGATTTGGCCTTAGATTAAGAATAATTTAAGAGCATGGTTGAGATATTGAATATCGAATGACTTGGAATAAAATATTGAGAATATCATGAATGTTTGAATCATATATTGTGTGCATGATATCAAATGGTTGATTATGAATTGAGATTCGATTTATTTGGATGTTCGACGCTTTAGATATGCTTACTCAGCTTCATCGCTGAGCGTGTACTATGTTTTATTTGCTACACGCAGGTAGGTAGAATGAATGATTGGCTGATTCCTGGTAGCAGAAGGGGCGAGACAGTCGTGGTGGATCATTGAACAAAATAAATAATTATGTTGTTATGAGACATGTTTAAAAGTCGCTTCCGCATTATTATTAAACACTCCGTATTTACTACAATTATGTTTGGAAATTTTATTTATGATGAATAAAGTTATTTGAAATGTTTTAAATTATACGATTACCAAGTTAATACTTTAGTTCGGAAGGGGCTGTAAACCTGGACGGATTAGGGTGTTACATGCGGTGAGGCAGAACTTCATGGCTTTGAATCAAAGGAAACTTTTTATTTCTTCATTCTTTGTTGATGAGCTTTTAGACAAACTAGAGTTTGCTAAAGCGTTCCCGGGACCAGAGGTTAGTTACGATGAGTTTGTGAATCCTGGAAGACTAGAGTTAGAATTGCATTTGTAACATTTCTCTTGTAATTCAAGTTGTATCTTGTGTTGCAATGATATTATCCATAAATATTCTCCTAGGTTGTATGGCTAGTGCGAGCTATATTTTCTTCATTCTTCAGTCTTTCACTATTGGTGTCACTGTTTCACATTTTGTTTTGTATTATCACCATGTCGCAATCTTTCACGTCAAAAGGGTATACGAACGAGTCAACTATCTTAATCACTTGCTTCATTTTGACAATTTAGACTACATCGACGTTTTTATGATAAACAACTAAATCATTAGTCGTTTCGTAGCAAGGCATCATTTCATTCAACAAGGTCGAGATGTCTATAGCTTTTAACAAACAGGTTCTTCGAACAATTCATCTATACGTAGTAAAGGGTAGCGATTCTCGATCGTCAGTTTGTCCATCATTCTTAACAGAGATGTGATAGTATTTTGACTGTAAGTCAGTCTTAGAGAATACAATGGATCCTCTAAGCTGATCAAATAAGTCATGATACAAAGTAAAGGATAACGAATTGTTTAACTGACAGTAGTTGGTATAGAGTTGATAAAGTCGTTTTATATATAATTTTATCCTCACATTTAACATATTTTTTATAATTTTTCTTCTTAATAAGAAGTAATTTTTCTATTAAAAGTCATATATCTATATTTTTGAGTAGTAAATTTGAATGGGCCAAGAAAAATAAAAATGTTTCATTTAAACAAGAAATTAGTAATATTTTCCTACTGGAATGGAATTGGAAGTTGGAGCAAGAAAGGAAGGTGTTTAGAAAACATGATTTTTGAAGCAAAGCATGAGTTTTGGAGCCGAATGCACGACAGGCGACCAGGCAGGCGGCCGCCTACAAGGCCGCCTGCCGGACATTGGCAAACGGCGAGAATTGGCTCTGGCGGTGAACTCAAGCGCAGGCGGTAAGAGTTGGCTCCGGCGGTGTAGCAGGCGGCCGCCTGCTTGACCGCCTGTCGACGTTCCCGAATCTTCGCCGTTCCAGAAGCTTCCCCTCATAGCGGTGGCGGGCTGACAGGTGGCCGCCTGTCTGCCCGCCTGTGGTTCTGCTCGGGTATAAGTACCCCACTCGGCCCATCCCTTCAACACANGGAAGGTGTTTAGAAAACATGATTTTTGAACTATGAAATCCTATTTTTGATACCAATTAATTATGCACAATATAAATATGATTTTGTATAATAAAAATGATGTTTTTGGCATATAAAATACTATGTGATGCATGACGGTAAGTTCGGGTGTTAACACTCGAGACTAGGCCGCTGTTTCTTATCAAATGTTATGTTGATTGATGATTATGATGAATGATTATTATGATGATTATGACTAGATGAAACTACTGACTAAAATGATTATTGAAGATTAAATTATGAATTCAAATGAATATGTTGATGATTATGAAATGATTTGAATTCTAAGGATATCTAGAAGAACTCTAAGATATACCTAGGTTGACGTTGGTTTCTAAGACTATCTAGAAGACCTCTAAGATGACTTAGAAATGGGCCTTGCGGGTATAATTATGAATATTCGGTGGCCTGGGTTAAAACGTACGTACGGGATCCATAACCAAACTAGAGGAACTCGTTTGGGGATGCCACCCAACCCGACAGTTAGTATCCTACTGTTCGGTTTTCTAGATTTGTACCTTAAGCAAAGGCTAGTTTAAGAGTTGGTAAATTAATCGGAATATATGTACCTTAAACTAATGACCTAGCTTAAGAGTTGGTTAGAAGTACCTTAAACTCTAATAAGTTTAAGAGTTGGATAAAAGTACATTAAAACTAGAATTAGTTTAAGAGTTGGATAGAAGTACCTTAAACTAGAACTAGTTTAAGAGAAAGTTGTTCGTCACATTGTTGGTGACGAATGTCATGAGTCGTCCGTGTGTTGTGTGGGAGAAAACATGGGAACTATTGGCTGATGGGATTTTATATGATCGAAGAAGATTATTGCGCAATCCAGGTAATTAATTTGTTAGGTTAACTCATTGTTATTATTAGTTAGAACTATAATTGAAGTATGTGATAGTAAAAATGTGAATTTTTGAAAAAAACCACTTGATAAAACAAAATATTGTTGCAGGTGTTAGTAAACATGGACTTCATCTACTGTAACATGTTCGTTATTGCAATAAC